AAAATTACTTAAACAAACAAAAAAGTATTTTTCTTATTTTTTTTTGTTTCGGTTTTAATTGTCAATGTGCGTTTCTCACGTTTGTGTGTGGGTGAGTGATTGCAGAAACATTAAATGATTTCTGATAGTAAAATTATGACTTGTTTGCCAAAGGAAAAAAATATATGTATTTCTACTTGCTTCGATTTTATTTATTTTTAATCATGTTACGGTCATTGCTTTTTAACCTATCTTTAATACATATACATACATACTACTTGTATACAGAAACAGTTGTTTTTTCCGTTTGTGTTTTAATCATTTTAACCACAAAGGTTGCAAGTAGTTATTAGTGGAGCAATGAAAAAATAACCTTTAAATTCAGGGTCATTATAAATATGCGTATAAAAATGGATTTATGTATTTTTTACAATAAAAGATTAATTAATGTGTTTTGCTATAAATTCAGTTGTATAATTTTCTTTTTGAAGGCGTATGAGTGTTGTGGAATGTAGGCTTGTTAGGTCAAAAGAGTAATGTTGCGTATGAGTGTTATTTATTATAATCAAAATTTAAAATTACGTATACTTTAGGTGGCTGAGATTAAAATTTTAGATAAAAATCTTCCTTTTTAATTTTATTCGATTTAAATGAAAATAAAAAATTCTTAAAATGCAAAAAAAATAATAATAACAATTTATAAAACAATATTAAATTTATATATTTTAATTTATTGAATATTATTGCAATCTACATGTGTATGTTATGTTGTATGCAGAGTTTAAATGTAATCGATTCTATTTATTTACAAACGAATCTAAATATAACTTAAGACTGATATATTTCTGAAAGGGACTAAGACAGATTCTGTTCACTTTCAATTTCAAATTAAGCAGTAGAGTATATTTGTAGAGCTCACTACCTGCTCCCGTATGGCTTCAGATGTAAGAAAATTACCAGATCGTTTAGCTTTCTTTCACAATTTGAAACGGGACTATAGGCCATTTTATCATGGAAATATTTTTTTTAATAAAAATCGTATCCGTTATTAAAATAGTTTTTTATTTGAAAACAAGTAAAGTTCTATATTCGTTTGTGCCGAATCATATATACCCTTCACCATAGTGTGTTTTTAGGCTCAAAAAGTATTAGTATTGTACCTAGAGCCTATGTTTCCAGGTTCAATATTTCATAAAAACCAAAAAGTACCAAAAACCAAACCAAAAAGTTAGAGAACCAAAATTACCAAAAATCATCTACATACTACATATTTTAGGTACTTTTCAAAAGCATGTTTGACAGAATTGTCAGAAAATTTATTTCAACAATCATACAGGCGGACATAGCTTAATGAATCCGCTCTCTACAGGGACTCGGAATATATACATATATTTTATAGGGTTGAAAATCTTTATTATAGAAATTTCAAATGGAATGACAAACTTATGACAAGGGTTTAAAAATAATATACACAGTTCCTTATACTTTGCACCTAAATTATTATATTTTCTTATACCGAATACATATTATCAAGAAATATTATTTAAATATAACAAAAAATTACTAAAATCTTAAAAGTATTTTAACAACTTATTTTGTGTCCAATCACGTTTTATTTTCGTGGTTGCCCATAAAATTTGTAGAAGCAAAACAAAAACATTATAGATAAATTTATAAAGTTACACAAATAGCAGAAATCTAACAAAGTACTTAATTGTATAGATAGATATATAGATAGATAGATAGATAGATAGATAGATAGATAGATAGATAGATAGATAGATAGATAGATAGATAGATAGATAGATAGATAGATAGATAGATAGATAGATAGATAGATAGATAGATAGATAGATAGATAGATAGATAGATAGATAGATAGATAGATAGATAGATAGATAGATAGATAGATAGATAGATAGATAGATAGATAGATAGATAGATAGATAGATAGATAGATAGATAGATAGATAGATAGATAGATAGATAGATAGATAGATAGATAGATAGATAGATAGATAGATAGATAGATAGATAGATAGATAGATAGATAGATAGATAGATAGATAGATAGATAGATAGATAGATAGATAGATAGATAGATAGATAGATAGATAGATTAGATAGATAGATAGATAGATAGATAGATAGATAGATAGATAGATAGATAGATAGATAGATAGATAGATAGATAGATAGATAGATAGATAGATAGATAGATAGATAGATAGATAGATAGATAGATAGATAGATAGATAGATAGATAGATAGATAGATAGATAGATAGATAGATAGATAGATAGATAGATAGATAGATAGATAGATAGATAGATAGATAGATAGATAGATAGATAGATAGATAGATAGATAGATAGATAGATAGATAGATAGATAGATAGATAGATAGATAGATAGATAGATAGATAGATAGATAGATAGATAGATAGATAGATAGATAGATAGATAGATAGATAGATAGATAGATAGATAGATAGATAGATAGATAGATAGATAGATAGATAGATAGATAGATAGATAGATAGATAGATAGATAGATAGATAGATAGATAAGATAGATAGATAGATAGATAGATAGATAGATAGATAGATAGATAGATAGATAGATAGATAGATAGATAGATAGATAGATAGATAGATAGATAGATAGATAGATAGATAGATAGATAGATAGATAGATAGATAGATAGATAGATAGATAGATAGATAGATAGATAGATAGATAGATAGATAGATAGATAGGTAGATAGATAGATAGATAGATAGATAGATAGATAGATAGATAGATAGATAGATAGATAGATAGATAGATAGATAGATAGATAGATAGATAGATAGATAGATAGATAGATAGATAGATAGATAGATAGATAGATAGATAATTTAATTTAATTTAATTTAATTTAATTTAATTTAGTTTAGTTTAGTTTTCGCCCTTACTAATAAGTATACAAAAATAATTACATTAACCATATAGAAAGAATAAATTATTTTAAATAACTGCTTAAAATATCATTTTAATGTGTCACTATCTCTGCAAAACAATGTACTCAACACCCTCAACAAAAAAAAAACGTACATACATATAAAAATTAATGAACAAATGTAGATTAATATGAATGTATGTATACATGTGTGTGTGTGGTTATGTGTGGATGTAGAAGTTATCTTCTCGGACATAAAACCAACAGTCGCTGACCGTATTATTGTCTCAAATGGATTATTATTATTATTATTGTTATTGCTGTTGTTGTTGCTATTTGTTGTGTATAAAAAAGTAATTGATTAAATTGAATTTAAGTGGTGATGAAGATGATTGAAATGTGATGCGATACTAAAAAATGGGATGGAATGAAATGAATGATGACTTTGTTGGTTGATTGTTTCAATGAATGGATGTACATACATATAAGTGTTGAGATGTTTACAACTGATGCCGGTTGATTGTGAATTTGTTGGGGTAGTACATGCATTCGTACATGTTGTTGTTGTTGATCTTGTTGTGGTCAATTTGATGTAATAAAACAAAATCAAATAATATCATATTTATTTAGTTGTTTTTATTTTTTTTATCTTTGTCATTGTTCTTAACATGAATACGAAGATTAAGATTGAGAGATATAACGACTAATATTCAAATGTATGTAATTTACTACAATAACAATATTAAATTGTATGAGTAATAATGAAAATATACATACATACATATGTACTTGGATTGATATTAGAATTAAATATTAAAGAACTATTTACTATGAGATTATTTATGTGAGAAAGTTTATTAAACAATGACATATCATTACACCCTACACCATGTTCATTGTTATGTTCAACATCTTTTTAACTCATTTGCTAAAATATAAATTTTCAATAATAGAGCAGCTTATTCAAAAAATTTGCATATTACGATCATAAGAAAGAATATTCATTTTGCGGATTTTAAAACTTTAAGTGAATCAAGCGAAATTGTTACAAGAACTGAAAAATAACAGCTGTTAAACCAAAAATATTACATATAATGAAAACAACTAAAGTAGAGAGTGCCTAAAGTAGAGTTTTCGTTTCTTTATTGCATAATTCAATTTTATAGCACTTGACAAAAACTTAATCAAATTTTCGTTTAAAAAAATAGAATAAATTTATTATCACCACTTAAGATTTCTTTAGTTTTACCGTATATTAACTATTTATTGTTTAAATCAATGGCCTTGAATTAAAAGTGTATTTAATGACAATAATGTCTGCTGGATTTTAATAAACTTTGTTTTTTATTTTTTATATTTCCTTAAATTTTTTTATGGATTCTGTTTAATATGTACGTGAATTTTAGAGAAAATTTGTATTTGAATTTTGAACAAGTTTCCATAGTAATGTTCGAAAAAGTTCGAATAATTTAAAATCCTGAGATCATAGTACATTTTTCTACTTCCATTTGGATCTCGCAGATCTTTTAAAAACTTATTTTAACGTACAGGCGGATAGACATAGCTGAATCGACTCCGCTAGCTATGAGGATCAATATTATATTTTATAAGATCGGAAAATTATAATGTAGATATTACAAATGGAATGACAAACCTATATATAAACTTCTCGCAAAGATGCCGGGTGCAACTTTGCAGATATTGCTAACAGATTTAAACGCATAAATATTTTAAAATATAAATTTATAATCAAGTATAAATATTTAAATTTAATAACAATTTTCAAATATTAAACAAGCTTAGGTCCAAGACACCACATACATACGTACAAACAGAACTAGCTTTCAGTCAAAAATTCTAAACAGGTTATCGTATAAATAAAAACCGAAATTTCAGCTTATAACAATAAATCAAGAAACGTGCCAATAGGAACGATACATTCGTGTTTTGCATAGCAATTTTTTTATAAATCAAGTTAAAATGCAAGAGAAGATTTTGGGAAAAAAAATTCTCAAGTAGTTTTATTAATAAAGAAATTCTAAACATATAATTATAAGTTTAATTTATATTTATACTCACTTGCTTTTCTATTATCTTTATAATTTGGAAATTCAGCTTTTGGCATAATACGTATTTGTGGTGATCCTGCCAAAAGTTCAACAACCTCCTCATCGCCATCGTCATTTTGCACATTTTTATGATCAAATTTATGATGTTTCATTGACATTTTTTTTTTTTTTTTTTAATTTTATTATTTTTTATTTTTAGCACAAATTTGTGTCTGTTGTATGTTTAATTTGATTTTCTTTGCTATTTTTAAAATTTAATTACAATGAATGAAATGCAAAAGATTTATTTTCTAGTGGCACTATTTATTTGATTTGATTTGTTTTTGTTTATATTCTTTTCTCACTGACTTTTAAATAATATTAAATAATAATTTTTAATTTAGTATTTTAGAGTTTAAATTAAAAATATATAAAAATACAATAACAACAATAATTATTATATTTTATTAAAATTATTTAATTTATTATCAATGGCGCTAGATTATTATTTATTGTAGTTTTTTTTTTTTTTGTTTTGCTAATTATAACAACAACAATTAATCAGAATATTCCCTCTTGCTTTTGCCTTCATTCGTGAGTTAGTTTGTATATTTATATTTTATTTGTGTTTTTTTTTTGTCGTTATAGTTTTTTGTTTTGATTTCTTATCTTCTTTATAGTAAAAACAAAAACAATAACAACAATATTAATGACGTTGCTTAAAATAAATTGCATTTTTTTAACCACGTTTTTTTAATTATTTATTTACAATTTGTCATTTTTTTAATCTTTGTAACATTTCTCTGTAGTTGTTTTTCTTAATTTCCTTTTTTAACAATTAATTAATTATGGAAATTTAATTTTTGTTTTTCATTTAATATTTTTTTTTTTGTAATTAAAATTTAATTGCGATTTCTCTTTAAAAAAAAAACATACAAAATTTTCTGTTTAATTTGGCAAATTTTGTATTTTCTGTTAGAATAATTGTGCCGCTTCTTTACTCTTTGCCAATATGATTTCAAATGTTTTGATTAGAGAAGAAATGGCCCAAAATACTTCCCGGTTTTTGTTGGTTTTTAATCTTATGTACGTGTATGTGTGTAAGTGTTTTTTATGTTTTTTTTATACATATTTTGTGATATAATACATTGTGGTTCTATTTTATGTACGAAGTCAATCTAAAAATTCATTTCTAAATTTTTAAGGGCTTTTAGATATTTTGTTTTTACTGCTATACATTAGAGTACTTGTTATTATAACGATTTCTCTAGCAATACAGTAAACCCTTGATTTAGGTCATCACAATGTTTAGTCCTTCCAATTTCGATTCGCGTGTACGTAAATAGGGGGAGAGACAGATTAGTATGAATAATTTGGAAATCTATTTACATCGTTTCAAATGCCGGAGACTGTTCAACTTCATGGGTTTTTATATCAAGAGGTAATTATTAAAAGAAGCAGTTTGAGGGCATTAGTATTCCGACGAGAGAGGTGAAATTCTTGGATCGTCGTAAGACTTATTTAAGCATTTGCCTAAGAACGAAATTTATAGGTTTCAAGGCGATCATATACCGTCCTAGTTCTAACCATAAACGAATTGTTTATACGTTTTTTTATTAGTGCCAAACTAAACGATTTTAAATTTGAAATTTATTTGAAAATTGAACTTGTTTAAACCTCATCTCAATTCAGTGGTTCAATCCGAGACCACTGTCATAGTATTTCATTCAGTATTGAAATGAAATCCATTTTATTCAAAATATTTAATAAATTAAAACTGAACAACAACAAAATATTTGTAGTTTTTCGTTTCGTAAACATAAGAATTTAAAGAATCAAAATCGATTGTAATAATTCACAATCTAAACTCTTCAATTCAGTTAAAAATCATAAAACATTAACTGTAAAACTGTTAAGATTGACCTCGTATTCATTATAAAAAAAAAAACAATTAAAAATATAAATAAGTATCATATCTTTCTTTAAATCAATGAATGTTGCGCTTTCATAAAATATTAGTTGACACCTTTTCTCTGTTAATTTGTTTTTATTTCAATATTTATTTTGTATCAAACCACAACAGTTACATTATTAATGGTGGACCTTGCACGTGCCCGCGTTAATAGAAAAGAAAACCCTTGTATTTTTTGGTTTCGGTCGGTGCACTTGATTTAACTTGTGTTCGAAATGTAATGGCGTTTGATTTTTTATTTTTTTGCAATTTAATAGATGAACCGATTTGTTCAATATTTTTACAACAATTTATTTGTTGTTTAGTTCGTTAAAATAGTTGACACTGGCAATAAACGTCCGCAACCGTTGTTTTTAAGATTCAAAACTGAACTGAGAAAATGTAGACCATAAATGATATTGTCCATTCCAGCCGTTGGATATTTATTTGCTTATTTTTTTCGCATACAAATTTACATACATACATACATACATACTTATTGTGCATACATTGTGTTTTTCGTTTTTATTTTTTTTTTAATTTTTTTTATTTTGTTTTCGATTTGTGTTTAAGCTTGAGCTTGATAAGCGTTCACCAAAATAGTCGCACGGTAAGCTTCATTAGCTGCTGCTGCTAAAACTCAAATGTGTTAAACAAATAAATGAGAACACTCTTTCGCGTTTAACCAGCCTTTAAAATTTGTGTTAGATTCATACATACATACATACGTACAAACATTACTTGTACATCTATGCACACGTAGTATATATTTTAATTTATTATTATTATTATTTTTGCACCATATACTTTATTTACACTGATAAAAAACATTGTGTGGAATATTTAATATTTTCGCATAATTATACTCCACCCCAATATAGTGGGGAGGGTATTATGTGTTTGCGCTGATGTTTGTAACACCCCAGCTCAGAATCAGTTTCTGAGTCGATTTAGCTATGGCCGTCTGTCCTTGTGCGCACGCTACAGGTCGCGAGTTTTAAGATAATTTGAAATTTCTCTTTACCCAAAGACACCCCCGGGGCATGTTTCCTTGATGACCCTCATCTTGGTGTATTGCAATCCCGGGTTTCCCCCCGGGGGCATGTTACCTTGGCGAGACCTCCGCCTTGGTGTTATTGCAATCCCGGGGTATAAAGAGGTTGCCAATACCTCCAGTCTGGCCGGGACTGAATTATTGGTTACAGTCTACTGCCTGGCTTAGTCCTTGCATAGATTGCCAGAGGTCCGACCAGAGCACCGCATAATCTGGTACTACGGGTGGCCAATTGCCCGCCGGACTATGTCCTGGCTGGTCAGTTGGTTGAGGTTCCTTCGGGATCCACGTAGTGGCTGTGGTTTAAACCCAAATTAGCGGGGAGAGTAAGTTGCGGTTAAAAGACTGATGCATGATAATAGTCAATTTTTCGGGATAAGTTCGGTGCTGTTGCCGAAAACAACAGATACCCCACAGAGGAGTGACTATGGACTAAGCGTTGGAAATGGGTTGGTGTCAATTGTATATGATACGGGATGAATGTAGAGGTATGCGGGCCTCGTCCACCCGTATATCTAAATGAGTGTGTCGTATGTTTTTTTCTCTTATGAATGTGTCGGATAAATGAGAAGTGTGCTGGGTTGAATGATGATGGATGAAAGGTATCATATACAAGTGATACCATTAAATTTTCCTTCCTTGTCCAGATATGTTCAGAGTAAACTCTGTTCATATCAGAATTACCACAGCGTGTCACTGTGAGTAAGAACAATGTCAACGGCTTATTGATGGATGGTGCTTCGGTCCACCGGTTACGTCTCTAGGTGCTGTTGCCGAATCAACAGAGCCATAGTAGTGTGGTTGGGCAACATTATGTCGGGGTAGATTGAGCTTGCTCATAACACCTGTCTTTCCCCAACGTGACTACTTTGGCAAGAGATTAGATAGCTCGAGTACTCCAGCAAAGTACTTGTGCATGGACCGGTCAAGGCCAATGTACAAAAATTGCCACCTGAGTTCTTCATTGAAGAAAAAGGGGCGATGGTAGACCGTTCTCAAGTCTACCCAGTGGATGAAATAGACCACCGTGAGATAAGGCCGACAGGGCAGGTGCTCACGTTAAAACTCTCGACAGTCTGCAATCCCGGGTTAACCAGTACCTCTAGTCTGCCGGAACTATAAACTGGTGATGTCAATTCATTCCTCGGACTTTCCTTGGAATGATTTGACATGGGGCCGAACCAGAGAACCACACAATTTGGTACTACGGGTGGCCAGTTGCCCGCAGGACTTGTCCTGGCTGGGATAAGTTCTGTGCTGTTGCCGAATGACAACATATACCCCACAGAGGAGTGGGACTAAGCGTTGGGAATGAGTTGGTGTTAATTGTATATGATACAGAATGAATGTAGGTGTATACGGAACTCAACCGCCTCACTTAGAGTAAGTCTGTCGTATGTTGTTCTCTTATGAGTGTGTCGGATAAATGGAAAGTGTGTAGGGTTGAATGGTGATGGATGAAACGTATCTTATTTAAAATAAACTCTGTTCATACCAGATTTACCACAGTGTGTCCCTGTGAGTAAGAATAAATTCTCGGCTTATTTGATGGATTCGTACTTCCGTCTACCGGTGTGTGTGGAGGCCACCCCAGTTCGTTTTTGCATCTCGGAGTTAAGCAACGGGGCAGCAATGGTCAGAGATTAGATAGCTCAAGTACTTGAGCAAAGTGCGCGTATACTGGTGTGGAAATTCCATAAACGTAAATTGCCACCTATAAGAAGCACAATGGTGCGATGGTGAGTCGTCACAGAAGCTCACCCAGTGGTTAAAAAATACCACCGTGAAATAAGCAGGTGTTCACGTAAAGCACTCGACATTAATATGACCCAAAGACAAATCGTATTGAAAATGTTTAAAATTGGTCCATTATTATTTTACCTAGTCCGAAAATGCCCTTTGAGCTAATAAATATTTTAAATGTTCTTGAATCTCTTCAAAAATCGGTAAAATTTAGTTTTATATAATCTTAATGGTGCCAATTTTTGAAATTGGAAAATCAGAAAATAACTTGAAGGTCAAAATTCACTTATAACGCTAATATCACAGTGAAATTCTGCATAAATAACTTTACCAAAATTTATAAGGATAGGCCCATATTAACGCCCTGCCCCCATATAACCCCTCTTTTAGAAAATCTCTTTTTTTGTCAACAAATTTTTAAAATATTTCTGACTTAAGGTAAAAATCAAAATTAATGATTTATTATTAAAAAATAATTCACATTTTTAACATAACTACTGGTGAAGGGTATCAAGTGGTCGGCCATGCCCGACTATACATTCTTACTAGTTTGTTTTATTACTTTAAAAATTACATCAATAATCTTATTTCTCTCAATGTATAATATTCGTACTCGATAACTCGTACTAGAGTGTAAGTGTCTATGAACATCTGTACAAACATGTCGTGTCCCCTGCTTACATACTATTTTGAATATCTATAGGAGGCATCGGTTGTTTTTAGCATTTTACGTTTGAGCAGAAAACTCACATACTCACATGCACTACAAAGCAACTCTCTGCTATAATTTATTAAATTTAAATGACATTTTCTGATCTTTTTGTATTTGTTGTTACTGTTTGTTGCACTAAAAACAATTGGATTCTTCGAAAAGTGTTAAAAACAACAGCAACAACAATTGTCTTTTCAATATTTTTATTCATACACATTTTAAAATTAAAACTGATTTTGCCAAATTAGAAATTCAAAGTGTATGACTGAAATTTTTTTATTTTTTGAAGAAACGTTTAATTGTTTTATGCTTCTTGTGTCCGAAATGCTAAATTTTTATTATAATTTCTAATCACATATCATTATGGAATACTATGATAACAAAACATCAATTAACAACAACAGCTTTTTTGGGATATCATAAAATTTGAATAAAAATAAATTTGCAAAAAGTTTAGCATAACAAAAAATGTTTAAAACTAAGCACTGTCAAGCTTGAAAATATAGGCTGTTGATTTTCATTATTATTCCTAATGAATTTATTTATAGGTCCCTCCGTTAAAGCTATAGCGAATATTTGCTTGTTTCAACATTAAACATTACTAGTTATCGGAGAAGCCCTTCCTCTGAGCTTTCTGGCGTCTTTATATTTGGTTATATAAAGTATACATTTTAAAACACTTTTTTAATAAATGGCTTGTAAACAAACAATCATTACAATTTTAACAAATTAAAAGATAAACGAAAATAGCTGCTACAAATATCTTACTTTAATTTTATTCATTGCAACAAAACATTCACATAAATTTTAACTGACTATAAAAATTTTAGATAATTTAAAATCGTTCGAAAATACAATGAGTAAAAATTAAGTTAAGAATATATTTAAAAAAAGTTTTTTTTTGTATAATTTTGCAATTACAATAAAAATTACTTCTAAATTGTTTGTTAAATGAAAATTTAAGCAATTATTTTGCAACATATTAACACCTTAAATATGTTTATTCGTTGCGTTCCTTTTTGCCAAACTTTTCGCCATCCTCTATAGTCTCGGGAAGTGGAAAACCTCGTGTTTCTGGCAGAATGAAGGTTAAAACCGCACCCACTAATGAAACTACGCCAAAAATCAAGGGTGGTAAAAAGCCATATAAATCTGCTAATTCTGATATAAACGGGGCCAACATGGAGCCAACACGGCCGAAAAAAGAACACATGCCCACTCCATTTGAACGTACTACAGTTGGAAATATTTCACCGGCATAAAGATAAACATTGGGAAACGTAATGGCAGCACCAACCAGACCCATTGTTGCAAATGACACAACCAGAACCGAACTTAAATGCTGGAACATGGCTATAACCAGTAAACCAATGGCACTAATAAAATTTGAAATGATCAGAGTGAGACGACGTCCCAAGTATTTCGTCATAAAGACACATATTATGGTGCCCGGCATGCCGAGAAAACCACCAATGGCTACATTCAAAAATATATTTCCAGCCAGTTTGGAAATGTATTGGGAGACACCAAAGTAAACAGCGCATACGTTTAACCACTGAAAGGCCATGATAATAGTTTTCTTGCGCAGATTAGGCGAACGAAATAAATCAAAAAGATTTCCTTTTTTAGGAGGGGCTCTAGAGGAAAGGTTTTTGTAGGCCTCTTCGATTTCTGGCCTAATACGCTCCGTAGGCATTTTATTAACACGGGCGATTTTCTCCAACAATGGAATGGCTCTTTCGAGACGACCAGTCGTAAACAACCAACGCGGCGACTCAATGCAAAGGCATATATAAATCAAATATACCACCGAGAATGAGGAATAACTTAGATTAAACCATCTCCAATGTCGCAAAAAGTACGA